CCATCCCAGTGTGTATGTGTGTGTGAGTGTATGTGTGTGTGTATGTGAGTGTGTGTGTATGTGTGTTAGTGAAAACCATAACGTGTCCACAGTTTTTGTACACAGCAGGTCATGTTGACATTGTGTGTGTTGGTTACCTCCCTCCCTGGCCTGGCTGAGAGAAGGGAGGGGAGAGGAGTCGTGGATGTTGATAGTAATTATGAACTAAATTTCCCTGTCATCTTGTGTGTGTGTGTGTGTGTGTGTGTGTGTGTGTGTGTGTGTGTGTGTGTGTGTGTGTGTGTGTTTCATTTTCTTCTTCCTTTGTTTTTTTTATATTTCACTTTCTTGGGTTTTTTCATTTCTTCGTTCCCTTTGTTGATAGTGTGTTGTTTATGGACTAATTTTCCTGTTATTTCTTTGTTAATCCTTTTTGTTCTTTTATTTTTATTTAATTTTCCACATTTTATTCTTCTCTCTCTCTTTTATTCTTGTTCTTTTTCTTCCTCTTTCCTCTTCTTTTTCTTTCTTTCTCTTCTTCTTCTTCTTCTTCTTCTACATTAAATTAAAAATATGCCTTAACTTTAAATTAACAAAAATACCTCAACCTACACTGATGGTTAGGTTAGGTTAGCAATTGCAACACATGGTTTATATTGCAAAGGTGTTCCTCCTGTAATCAGTTTGGGTTACCATTTTTTTATAAGCATTGCAAAAGATTCTCCAAAAAAAATAATAATAATCACCGTTTCTTAAGCACTGCAAAATAATAATAATAGTAAATAAAATAAATAAAATAAATATCACTTTCGTAAACATTACAAAATTCTAGAAAAAAAAATCACTTTCGTTACATTGCAAAAACTTCTCAAAAGAAAACGCAGATGTGCAAGTCATAATTACACAGTTAAAATCTGAAGTCTGTAGCCGTGTTGCAGATCAATACATTATGACAAGGGGGTTTGATAATAGTAAATAATAATACATACAATGGGGTGTTGCATGGGGTGTTGCATGGGGTGTTGCAAATCAATAAAAACAAGATATAAATCACATGGCGTTAAATGTTTATAAATTGCAGTGTGTGTTGCACGTCAATGGAGTATGCCAGATGGTAGAGAGGAGCTAATACCAACGTAAACAATGGGTGTTGCAAATCAATAAACAAGGACAGACATTCATACAGTTGTTAAGTGCCACGACTCCCAACACACACACACACACACACACACACACACACACACACACACACACACACACACACACGAAGACTGAAAAAAGCTACATTGTGGATTGCTAATATTAATACATCTTCCTATACATTGAGAGAGAGAGAGAGGGTAATAAGTGCCATTTCATGAAAAATCTAATAACATCCATCAACTATGTCTAAGCAAGCCACCACGTGCCCCCTCAGACGCCACGAACACAGCGGCACCTCACTAACTTGTCGTGTAGATGTGAGGGAGCTAGATGGTCAATGATGATGATATTGATGATATTATTGTGTGTGTGTCACCGCAGCCTCGCTCAAAAGTCACGCCACGCTGTCTAGGCTCGTGTGTGTGTGTGTGTGTGTGTCTGTGTGTCTGTGTGTGTCTGTGTGTGTAGTTCCCCATCACCATGACATACACACCTACCCACCACACATAACTCCCCCCACAAATAAGCACTCCAGCCTCACATACACTCCCTGACGACACACAAACAAAACACCCTACACACACTCACCTCCTTCGCACCCCCACAGAAACACACACTCACCCTACACACACAAATACAATTCAAACTAAACCGCCCCACCACCCACCCCCCACACACACACCCCCACACCCCACCCCACACACACACCCCCACACACACACCCACACACACACACCCCACACCCCACCCCACACACACACCCCCCCCCAACACACCCGTTAATTCAACTCTCCTTACAGTCTAGATGGAACGACGCAAACTCTTAACATCTCCGTTAACCTGACCCCATCTCTCTCTCTCTCTCTCTCTCTCACAGGTGTTCTCTAGGGAGTCTTAATGTTACCTCTAGATTATCCCCCGTTAACTTGACCTTATCTATAGGTGTGTAGTCGAGGCTCTAGGTCACCCCCGTTTACCTTGACCCGTACTAGATGACCTCAGAGTCGTTTCCTCATCACGATAGTTAACATTACCTTCCTTCCCCAGGTGAGCAATTACCTCTAAGATACACCTTGTTAATTTTGACCTTATGTAGATGTGTATAAGATCGTCTATGAATCACCGTCTTGTTAACTTAACCTTCCCTCGTGGTGACACACAAGACCAGCTACTACGGTCAATTAATTTCCTCCTTACGTTCATTAACAAACAAAATATCACAAAAACACTAAAATTATCATGAGTAATATTTTTGTTTTTGTTTTGTTTATTTTAATGCGGTAACACTTCCTGTGTAACTCCTATGGAAAAACAAAAAACAAACAAACAAACAACAACAACAACAACAACTGGTTAAGGTACTGTGCCATTAACCACATATATTAACAGGGGAAGGTTAAGGATCCTTTCAAACAGGGGATGTTGATAACTTATAAGGGTCATTTAACAGAGAATAGCCATGGTGTGTGTGTGTGTGTGTGTGTGTGTGTGTGTGTGTGTGTGTGTGTGTGTGTGTGTGTGACAGTAATGACAGGATATACAACACCATCTACAACTAGCATGACAACTCCCATACATCCTCAATTGTGTATACTATACAGGATGTGACAACCTCGATACATTACAAATTACACAGTATATGACACCCCCCAGAGAAACCTATACAACCATACACTATACACCTACAAAATAACAAAGTATATATATTAATACCTTTGTATACATCATTAAGTGCATTCTATTCAAGTCGTGACAGTCACTATACACAATACTGTACAGGTGATGTCGGCTGCCATACACATCATTAAGGTCCCTATATACAATATACATCAAAGTATACCGATTCCATATAGGTGATACCAGTCCAGGTGTGTTTGTGAAGTGTTTGTCGTGTGTTTGTGAAGTCTTTGTCGTGTGCTTGTGACGTGTTTGTAATGTGTTTGTGAAATATTTTAGTGTGTTTGTCATCTGTTTGTGATGTGAAATATTTTAGTGTGTTTGTCATCTGTTTGTGATGTGAAATGTGTAGAGTGTGTTTGTCAAGTGTTTGTACCTCAATAATATATCGACTGTGTCAGTCTCAGTGAATCAACGCCACGAGCGCCATTTCATTTTTCAGTGTAAATAAATAGATGTTTGTCCCCTGTCTTATAAATATGCGAGTACTCTCTCTCTCTCTCTCTCTCTCTCTCTCTCTCTCGTGGATATTTCAAGGTTCACTATCAAGGCTCACCATGAATCAGAGACAGTGAGTAGGTGCGTTTGTTTACTAAATATATACAGTACAGTGACCACTAAGGCTTAACCGGTCCAGAAGGAGGTATTGTACTCGACCTCTTTCGTTTTCCCCATATCTAAAGTCAGGCACCCCCTCTAACCTAACCTAACCTAACCTAACCTAACCAAACCCAACGTAACGCTAACCTAACCTAATATAATCTATCTTAACCTAATCGAATCCCCCCCCTAGATATCGTTAGGGTGATTAATCTTCAGGTGATTCGAGGAACGTAAGGAGGTAGTAATATTTGGTAACCCGGCAGGTAACCTACAGCGTCTTAGCTTATCAGGTAATGACATACATAGCGATATTATTCACTGAGAGGCGATAAAACATTGCGTAATATCACTTTAAAAGACCCGGACATAACCTAACCTAACCCAATCCAACTCAACCTAACCTAACCTAACCTAACCTAACCTAACCTAACTTAACTTAACCTAACCTAACCTAACCTAACCTAACCTAACCTAACCCTAGCCCAATCCAACTCAACCTAACCTAAACTACACTTGCCAGGCTGTACAGGGTGGAGCCAGCTAGGGTTATATGACCTAGGAAGGACTACACACACACACACACACACACACACACACACACACACACACACACACACACACACACACACACACACACACACACACACACACACTGCACAGTTACCCAAATCTCAGAACCGATGCCTCTGTTTGTCCCATGTCTGTCTGTTTGTCTCCTCTTCTTCTCATCCGTGTGTCTGTCTGTCACATCTGTTTGTCTCTCTTCTTCTCATCCGTGTGTCTGTCTGTCTGTCATCTGTCTGTCTGTCTGTCTGTCTGTCTGTCTGTCTGTCTGTCTTTGGTTCTTTACCTGTCTTTCTATAATTTCACTCTATCTCCTTACAATTATTCTCTCTCTCTCTCTCTCTCTCTCTCTCTCTCTCTCTCTCTCTCTCTCTCCTATACAAGTTTGCTGGAACATTCTTTTTTACTTTTTACCCTATTAATATATACCTTTATTCCCTTGATCCTTATTCACTAAATATCGAGAGAGAGAGAGAGAGAGAAAAGAAAGAAGAAGAAGAATGAACAGAATGACAGACAGACACCCTAGATAATGAGACACCTGTTACACATACACACACACACAGGTGAGAGTAACGGGTTAGTCACGGCCACCACACACCTCTACCCACCATCCTACCTCTCCCACCCCCCCTCCTACCTCTCCCACCCCCTCCTACCTCTCCCACCCCCCTCCCTACCTCTCCCTTACACTCACTCTCCTCCCCTTACACTCACTCTCCTCCCCTCGTCTCCCTCACTGCCCCTCCCTTCCCATCCCTCATCCTCCACCTCCTTTCCCCTCCCTTCAATTTACAGAGAGACTTTTATTCATAACTAATTCTAATCTCCTGTTCCCCTCGTTGGATGTAAACAGTGCTAAGCTGAATGTGTTTTGGCTTTTTTATAACTTCTAGATATTTGTTTTTTTAGGTATTTTGTAGAATTTACGACCTAGTGAACGGTTCTTAATAGCCCTGGTAGTTGAAGCACCCTAAAACACCCAACATTATCTGGCAGTTTACGAGTGTATGGACCAAGGGATAGTGGGCACGATGACAAGGTGAGACTGTACGGTAATTATAAGTTCCTCAGTGTGACCAATACAGGTGAGAGTGAACTGGTACCTGTCTATCTATCTATCCATCTATCTATCTATCTATCTTTCTATGTGTGTGTGTGTGTGTGTGTGTATGTGTATGTAAATGCACTTCAATGTTCTCTCTCTCTCTCACACACACACACACACACACACACACACTACACCCATCCCCCTACATTCCATCACCCACAACTCCCCCTCACCCCCCCACTACTACCTCACCTGTCACCTAATTTGCATACACACACACAAAGGGTATCAAGAAACTCACTGACCACGAGAGGAAACCAACCTATGAATTTTTACCTCATAAAATATGCAAATTATACCACAAAATAATAAGATAAAAAATAAATAAATAAAAATTGGCTTAAAATTGGTCCAGTATCCCAATTTATGGCCTTAGGAGGGAAATTGTAATGTTTATTTTATTACTTTTTTTTATCATTGTTGTTATTGTTAGTATTTTTGTATTTATTTATTTTTTTGGTAAGTGATTTGTGGATATTGAGTGGTTGGTAGTTTTATGGGAGGTAACTGTTCTCTCTCTCTCTCTCTCTCTCTCTCTCTCTTGGTCTGTCTCGCTTTGTCTCTGTCCGTCTGGCTGTCTCTCTCTCTTTGTCTCTCTCTCTCTTTGTCTCTCTCTCTCTTTGTCTCTCTTTGTTTCCGTCTGTCTGTCTTTATCTTTCTATGTGACTCTCTCTTTCTCTCTCTCTCTCTCTCTCTCTCTCTCTCTCTCTCTCTCTCTCTCTCTCTCTAGGAACGGAGTTAGAATCGTCCAAAGCGAAAAAAATAGCTTGCAATTAAGGGCCTTGGTTTAACTGTCATCCTCACAGCATTAAACCATCGACCTCAAAGGGTTAAACCATCGTCCTTAAAGGGTCAAACTGTCATCCTCAAAGGGTTAAACCATCGTCTTCAAGAGATTAAACCATCGTCTTCATATTTTTAAATCCTCCTCCTCAAAACATTAACTAATCCTCAAAGGGTTAAATCCTCGTCGTCCTCAAAGGGTTAACAGGCAGGGTTAATGATTACACCCCCACACCCGACCGAACAGCTGGTGATTGCCAATTACGCAGAAATAAACTCATAAACCTGCATTACATTTACTGGTCCCACACGCGAGCAAATTTATAGTAAGAAAAAAATCAAAATAAATAAAAACATGAAACTATTTACTTGTTCCCCGAATATATATATTGGTAGTGAACATACATACATACATACATACATACATTCATACATACACACATACTGTACACGTATATATAAATGAATAAAATGTGAATATAAAATAAATGAATAAATTAGGGAGCAAAATAAATAAATAGACATGAACATACACATGCAGACTCACATTAAAACACACACACACACACACACACACACACACACACACACACACACACACACACACACACACACGCACACAGTTGTGGTTTAATGACCCTTCCCCTGTACGACACGACTTGAGGTATGTCTAATAGCCCTTTTACGTGTCACTAGTTATAATATTATATTCCTCCACGTGGCACTGTATCTATGTGGCACTGTATGTCCACGTGGCACTGTATCTATGTGGCACTGTATGTCCACGTGGCACTGTATCTATGTGGCACTGTATGTCCACGTGGCACTGTATCTATGTGGCACTGTATGTCCACTTGGCACTGTATTTATGTGTACTCCTAAGACTTCAGAGCGTCAGGACTCCTGCTTTCAAATTCTCATGCTGTCCACTGAGTCAACTTGAAGGTCAGAGTCCAGCTTTAAGGTCACAGAGTCCAACGAAAGGTCACGAGTCAACCCGAAAGGTCAGGGAGTCCAGCTTGAAAGGTCAGGAGTCCAGCTTTAAAGGTCACGAGTCCAGCTTGAAAGGTCACGAGTCCAGCTTGAAAGGTCAGGAGTCCAGCTTGAAAGGTCAGGAGTCCAGATTAAAGAGTCAGCTTAATATTGTAACATACAGACTGTCAGATAAAATACCAAAGCAATTAATTAGACACTTGAGCTTATTTCACTTGAAGATTAGACACCCCAGCTTATTCCACCTGAAGATTAGACACCCCAGCTTATTAGGTTAGGTTAGCATTGGGTTGTTAATTTTCTGTTTAAATAAGCTGGGGTGTCTAATCTTTACATGGAATAAGCTGAGGTGTCTAATCTTTACATGGAATAAGCTGAGGTGTCTAATCTTCAGGTGGAATAAGCTGGGGTGTCTAATCTTCAAGTGAAATAAGCTCGAGTGTCTAATTAATTGCTTTGGTGAAATAAGTGAAATAAAATGTGCTCTGTCCCACAACACGACGGACGTGTGTGTAGTTCCTCGTTATCATCCTTAATACTGTCAGAGTAATCAGTTCGTGTATGATACTCGTGGTAGTTCTGTGCTTAAATGACTTTGTTACGTCAGAGGGTACTTAGAGGCCAGGAGTCCTTGTATGTGGTGTCCTCTGCCGCGGCCTCCCAACCTCTGCCGCGGCCTCCCACTCATTGCCACGGAAAAAAGTTAATAATTGGTCGCCGGAAGTACTGCTTTATTCCTACTGTGAGTTTCGGCCCTAAATTGTAAAGGTTAAAGACCTGTGTTATTTAGAGCTTCCAAATGCCCTAAGTGTAGCATTAAGTCCCATATGGCACTGTTCCCCCATGTGGCACTACCTCCCATATGACACTGTCCCCTGTGTGGCACTACTTCCCATATGACACTGTCCCCCGTGTGGCACTACTTCCCCCATGATACAACTTCACCTTACACTATACCCCCATGTGACGCAGCCTTCCCTCGGGTGGCACTATTCCACCTACTGGGCACTATTTCCCCATGTGGCACTACTCCCCGTGTGTGTGGCACTGTACCCGCACTCGTTATCGCCCGACACACATAAATATAATCACATATCTAGCTAAAAATAATGTAACCCAAATACGTCAGCGGGCCGGAGGAAGAAGTGAATGACCGACCGGAGGAGACGGTGAGGGAGGGAAGGAGAGGGAGGGAGGAAGGAGAGAGGGAGGGTGGGAAGGAGAGAGGGAGGGTGGGGAAGGAGAGGGAGGGTGGGAAGGAGAGGGAGGGTGGGAAGGAGGGAGGGGTGGGAAGGAGAGAGGAGGGTGGGAAGGAGAGGGAGGGAGGAAGGAGAGGGAGGAGGGGTGGGAAGGGGAGGGAGGTGGGAAGGAGGAGAGGGAGGGTGGGAAGGAGAGAGGGAGGGTGGGAAGGAGAGAGGGAGGGAGCAGTAGAGATAGAGAGAAAAAAAAGAGAGAGAGAGAGAGAGAACAGGAGACAGACAAAGAGAGAGATAAAAGAGACAAAGGCAATGTAACAGATAGAGATACAGTGAGAGAGAAAGAGAGATACAGAGGTAGGAAAATAAAGAGACAGATAGACAGACAGACAGACAGACAGGTAGACAGAAAATAGACAAAAAGAAAGTGATATCGAGGCTTTTTTAGTTTAACAAAGCTTGGAGTACAGTTTGCCTATTGTGAGTAATTCAGTCAGGTCTTGACACTGAGGGTGGTATCACTTCTCACTGCCACGCAGGACAGAGGTTCATACACATTAACAGAAAAAGAGAGACAGTAAAAGACAGACAGGTAGAAAAGAGAGAGAGAACAGGAGAACAAGAGAGAGAGAAAGAATGAGGGAAGAGAACAACAAAGAGAGGAGAGAGAGAGAGAGAGAGAATGCCACCAGCTAGGGGCCAGCCACACACACAAGGGTCAACGACCGGCTGACCCCAGTGATGATCAACAATTATCAGATAGGGTTAAACTTCATCCCCCCTCCCCTCCCCCCTCACCCTCCTCCCCTCCCCCTCCCCTCCCCTTCCCCTTCCTTCCCCCTCTACTGGCAGGCTGGGCCTGATATACCCATCATCATAACAAGAGTTTATCCCCCCCCACTATTTTGTGTCTTTTTTCCAGTGGTATGTAAGGATCTCAATGATAAGAGGCTTTCAAGGGTGTATTACCTATGGTTCAATGGACTTACTGTTTACATGTTTCTCTGTATACCTGTCCTGTAAATGTGTATTGTTTGTATAATCTTTAATGTGTATGTTTAGTATATACCTGCGATGTTCTACGTATATTGCTTTGTATATTTGTGCCGTCTTTGTGCATATAATCACATATATTAGTTTACGAATTTAAAAATATATTTCTATTCATATAATAATACTCTCTCTCTCTCTCTCTCTCTCTCTCTCTCTCTCTCTCTCTCTCTCTCTCGGAGGGTATATAATATAGCCATTATACTCTCACGTCAAGAGTATACCCACAATATGTTTCTCGTCTATATAATCAGTGTTCAATTTATGGCTCTTCTTGTACAGGTGATGAAATATGACCTGTGTATATCATGAATTAGGAGGAGTTAATTAATACAGTATATCAAAAGTATATTCAGATTATTATAATATACACGTTAATATACACCAGGATTCTGATTAAATTTAGCAAGAACAGTAGAATATATTTGTTATATTATCAAGAATATATCCAGTCATTATACTCAAAGGGTAAGTCATTGTACTCAAAGGGTAATTCATCGTACTCAAAAGTTTACTTCATAGTACTCGGAGGGTTGTCATCGTACTCAAAAAGTTAATTCGTAGTATTCAAAGGGTAACTCAAAGTATTCATAGGGTTAATTCATTATACTTAAAGGGTAAACCATAGTACTCAAAGGGTAGGTCATCGTACTCAAAGAGTAATAAAATAATATTACTTAAACATTACAATGATATTAAGAGGCTACATTGTAACTCTAGTTACGTGTTATACATTATTAGTATTATTTTCTAACCCCCAGAGTACGTTGACTTAACCTCTTGAGTGCAATCTTAACCCCTTGAGTTCGTTGACTTAACCCATTGAGTGCAATGACTTAACCCCTTGAATACGATGACTTAATCCCTTGAGTACGATGAGTTAATCCCTAAGTACGATGACTTAACCTCTTGTGTAAGAAGACTTAACCCCTTGAGTACAATGACTTAACCCCTTGAATACGATGACTTAATCCCTTGAGTACGATGAGTTAATCCTTAAGTACGATGACTTAACTCGTTGAATATTATGCTTTAACCCTTCCAATATGATGATTTAACCCTTTGAGTACGATGACTTACCCTTTGAGTACGATGACTTACCCTTTGAGTACGATGACTTACCCTTTGAGTACGATGACTTACCCTTTGAGTACGATGACTTAGCCCCTCAAGTATGATAACACTGTACACAAGGAATTAAGTCATCATACTCAAGTTTAAATCATCATACTCTAGGCAGGGAGTTAAATCATTCCTCATCATACTTAAAGGGGTTAAATCA